GAGGGATGCTCCTTGATGATGTCAATGATGAATCCCTAAAATTGTTCTTCCCATGATTTCTGGTCTTGTTTAGTTTTATTAGGAATGTGAGAGACTTATGTGAGGATGAGCTGTGAACTTCGTTAGTCATTATAGTTACATAGAAGATTTGCGAGTAAATTAGATTCTGCTCCTTTAGATGAATTTTATTTTTTTTGGTGAATAGATGAACATCCCTCTACAAAGCTTACATCTTGGCCATCAGTATGAAAGTTATGACTTTTCTCAACTGTTATACTTCAAGTTGATATGCCCCTATCTGCTGCACGTTTGGATAGGTATTTTCTGCCGAGTATTCTTTGATTTGCAAAATATCAGAGTACAAAAAGCCATATGTATCACTTATGGATGGCATCACAATGGGCTTTGGTATTGGCCTATCTGGTCATGGTCATTTCCGTGTAATTACAGAGGTATGAATGATTGGCTTTCAGTTGCTTTCAATGTACTTTAGATTAACATACTATTTCTGTTCCATTAAATTCCCCTTCATCATCACCCTTGCAGAGGACACTTCTTGCTATGCCAGAAAATGGAATTGGTCTTTTCCCTGATGTTGGGTTTGCATCTATAGCAGCACAGAGTCCAGGAGAGGGATCGGTCGGTATGTAATTTATCAAATTGGGTAGTGTGTCTCTCATCTAGCTGAATTGTATCTGATTTACAGAATGGGTTCGAATAACAGAGGAGCATCTATTGATCTTGTGACTGTTGCATTTAGGACTTCAACAAATCCTTTATGGACTGTGTAGACACGTTGAAGTTCAAATAGATTTATTAATGGTTTGTCTATGCATTACTGAAGAATGTCGTCTCCAAAGTACATTGACACTCTTTCCTAAAATGGAATTAGATCATTTGACCTTTACTTTTGCCTTCTGATGTTCATATCCTTGAATACTTAAGAGCTATTTCTGATTTCCGAAACCTGTTGATCATAATTTATTACTGTAGTAATTCAGATAATTTTTCCCCCTTGACACCATGTGTACATGTAATGCGTTTTTTTGGAGGAAGTGAGCACATATGTTTGGTTAAGTCAAGAACAAAGTCTCATTTCTGTCTAATTATACTGTGGAAACATTTTTAAAAAAATGAAACTCTTTATCTCTCGCACGTAGATCTTGTCTGATAGGTACTGTCCGTGTCAATTAAGATACATCTGAATGATTTGCAAATCCCTATTTGAGTTGCCTCCTTTTGGAGTCTGGAAGGTGACATATTCTTGCATGTGTCTCTGAAAGCAACTTCACAGTCGGCTTGTTGGCATATGGATAAGTGTACTACAGTACAGTGACAGAATTTGTGCTCACGAATTACAGCTTCATGTAATCAAATTAACTGGACAATTTTCCTGTAAGGGTCATTCAAATGGTCGAAGCTGTCACCTGTCCTTAATTTTTTCCTTCAATTTCTGAAGTGGTTTAACCTGTCCTCCTTTTTCAGGTGCCTATCTTGGATTGACAGGAAAAAGGATCTCGACACCCTCTGATGCACTATATGTGGGTCTTGGAACGCATTATGTGCCATCTAGCAACTTGGGTTCCTTAAAAGAGGCTCTTTTGGCTACTACATTGTATGGCCCTAAAACAATACTAGGCGCATGCATCCGTTTTTGTTTTTTATCTCATATCTGGCACGATTTTCCATAATTCTTTCCTTGCAAAGAAGTTTCGGTAGAGTCACTGATATATGTAGCATAAGTGTGCATTTAGGATGATTGTTGCATCAGACATCGAAATGTTCAAATTGAAAGATTTTTCTTTTAGAAGCTAAGATCGAGATAGTGCCACTGTTTTTGTTAAATGTGTTAGCGTGATGCCTTAAGAAGAAGAAACTTATAAATTCATCTGTGCTGCAGTTTGGAAGATCCCTTCAAGGACATTGGAGCACTTTTGGCAAGATTCAGCGGTGAATCTGAATCAGAGGCTCAGTTAAAATTGCTCTTACCTCACATTATCGCATGCTTTGGTGCAAATAAATCAGTTGTGGAGATAACTGCAGAGCTGAGAAAGCATCAGCAGAGCTCTGATGCCAAAGGTAATTAAGGTTCTACTGATGATTGGATGAAAAAAATTGTTTCCTTAGTTCACTTTATGTGCTGAAAACTTATAATTCTTCCAATACTATCATAGTAATGCTGAAGTTTGCTGCTCGCTTAGTCTGTGTATTGTCTCATTGGATTCTCTCTATCTTGGCAGTGGTTGAGTGGGCTACTGATGCTCTTCAAGGTCTCGGGAAAGGTGCTCCTTTCTCTCTTTGCTTGACACAGAAGCATTTCTCAAGGGTTGCATCAGCCCTGAGAAACAATGATGCTGAATTGTCTAGAGTAAGATCTGAATTGGATGCTGGAATCTCTCTCTCTCTCTCTCTCTCTCTCTCTCTCTCTCTTCTAGTTGAGGAGTCAATTGTCAAGTGTGCAATTGGTACGTCTTATTTCATATTTTATACTAACGTTATTGTTTTGTCATGCTTAGCTGAGTGGTGTAATGAGAACTGAATATCGGCTAGCAGTAAGGTCTTCTCTGCGAAATGATTTTGCTGAAGGTGTCCGTGCAGTACTGGTGGATAAGGATCAGGTTCTAATTACTGTTTCAACCCTCATTAATCAACACTGGCATCTTTTGATTATTCTACATCTAGTCTCAGTTTGTTTCGCGGAAAATTGATGATTTGGAGAACATTTTCCTAAAAATAAATGCTTGTATCTCCTAAAATAATTAGTCAATGAAAACGGTTTTCATTATCGACCATTTTATTGTCTAAGTACTTTCGTAGTCGATGAAAATATTTTTCGTTCAATCATTGTGACTTTTAAGAAAATGTTCTCTAAACTATTTATTTTCCGTGAAACAACTGTACCCCCTAGTGTCTTTTGATTGTGTTGCCAAGTAACGTGCAGTTGCATTCGAACTATTGCAATATACCGTGGTCTTCAATTCAGCATGGCATCTTCATTGCCCTTTTCCATCTTTTTGAAGAAATATGAATATATGTCAGTAAAACAATTGTATTTTTGCAATGCATCTATGTAGGTAGTCTTCCATGAAACTTCTTCAACTCCCTCAGGCCATACACACACCAACAGCATACGATACGTCTACAATATTCATGACTTCTTTGATCATGGTTCAGTTTAAATCTGTAACTATCTCACATGTCCATTCTCGTGAACGTCGACGAATACAATAATATTGATTGAAAGTTCATGTGCTTGGTTTTATATTCACGAAAATTGTTTGTATATTTGTTTACTTTGTAAATTGAGTCGTGTGCTTTTTCTATATCAGATATTACTGGAGCTGTGTAATGATATCATCTTGACGATTTGTCAGTCATATCATGATTCACAAAATTTCTGTTGGCATGAATTTTATGCAAACGCATTCAAATCCTGTGATTACTTATGCAGAATCCAAAATGGCAACCAGCGACGGTGGAGGAAGTCGAACAAGGTGAGGTGGAAGCTCTCTTTGAACCACTGACCCCAGAAGTCGAGTTAAAAGTATGAAGCTCACATATAAGTACATATCCACGTCTCACCTTCTATATTGGGTGGATGCTCATGGTTTGTAATCCTGCTCTGTGGAGTAGTAGTTAATACCGGTTTCGCTTGAGCAGCAATCTAATAGTTTCGGGATCCTGGATCCTGGCAATGTAATAATTTCAGACATGCCATCAGCTGCTTTGTATGTGCCATTAGCCACTGTGCCTTGTGCTTCTCATAGTTGGTGCAGTTTTGATGCAATTTGCGTGAGACATGAAGAAGAGTATTTCGGAAGCCGCCATTGTCTCCGGCTTTCGGATGCTCTTGAGCTTCGCGGTGGAACAGACGCATTTAATCAATTTTGCTCCCCGAAACATCAGAGACCATGATATCTCCAAAATAAGAACATGTGGGTATCTCGAACTCTGGCTTTGTGTACTTCAAGTTGAGCAAATCTGATTGTAGATCAAGTGAGGGTGAGCTAGTAAATGAGCTCTCGTGGATTAAAAGTGATTAACCAGTCGGCTCTGACAAATAATTTAGGGGTAGAGGAAAAGTTGGCATGCTTCTTTTTGGACACTACGTTGCGAAAAGAGTTCTGTCTCGATGTGAATTACTCTTTTCCTTGAAAAAGAGAGCGTGAAACATAGAGCATATAACAAAAATGAGAAGGGCACTCAAGTGAATCCCGTATATAAGTTATGATACTCATTTGAGTTATCGGAAATCTGACGTGATATAACACTTACTGTAAATATTTTTATTTTATGGCACACAAATGATCTATTAAAAAGTTAAGTCATTTAAATGATCGATAAAAAAGTTATGTCACTCAAGTACATCAATTATGACACATAAGTGATTGAAAAAAAAAATTATGATTAAGTGAGTAAAAGTTTTCACACTTGTGATGTACTTTTTCACGGAGAAAAGAGAAAATCATAGAATAAATAACAAAACAAAGAAGGGACATAGTTGTAATTGCAAAAGAAGCCAAGTCAGTCGGCTCGACTTTCAATTATGAGTGAGCGGTTTCAGATTCTACTTCGAACCTAAAATCTACCTTTTGGAATCAGATCCCCAATGGAACTCGACTTGTTCTCTCCGATCCAATTTCCCGATTTTCAATTCTGCCCTAAAGTCATGCTCACTCCTAACCGGTCCGGTTTTCCGATTCCCGATTCTTCTGAAATCATTCTCACCCCTACTTTCGGCATATATTTTCGGAGAGAGTGTATGTACCCCCTCGTTCATCACTCCAATTTCAACCGTTCGAGCTGAGCCGAGGAAAGAAGATGACCCCTGACTTTTATCTATATCCTCTTCCCACTGAAACCTGCGTAAAACCCTAGCTCAAATTCGTTCACTTCCCTTGTTCGTCTCCCACAGCTTTCGATTGGGGCGGGCCCGTACGCCATCGTCCCTCGCGTCTCGTTGCTTCTCCTCTTCCTGATTTCCATTTGTTCAACCCCTTCACCGAGGTCGCGGCCCCGAGCTACCATACTATTCCTCCGTCGTCGTGGGTTCATCGAGGATACAAAACCCAATTCAGAATCTGTTGCGAGTCGCTGGTTTTTTGCGGGACGAACATGTTGGACGAGACCCAGTTCGACGTCCACTTGAATCTGTGGGCGCTTCGCGTCCCCCGCGAGTTCTGCAAGGTTGCCACCCGGGCATTGAACGGGTAATTCCGAGATCGTGGATTGAGTCTCTTCTTTTTGGAAGCGCGTGTTTTGAGAGATTGGAGCGGTTTTGCGAATCGGTTTCCGACGCCTTTTTTTTTTGGTTTTTTTTGTTTCGTTTGTTCGTCTTCGGGACGTTGGCAGTTACTTGCTGGACAAGGCTCGGGTAAAACCGATCACGGAGGATCCGACGTGCGAGAGGAATCGTCTGATGATATTGTCTGAAAAGGTCCAGCATTCTGGTGAGATACCCATGTCTCGTCTCGTCCGCGTGTAAAGGTTCCGCCTTTGTGGATGCCATTAGGATTTTCGCGTTTGTTTCTGGCGGAGGTGCACCCCATTTGTTTGTATTTAGTCCTTCTCCCATTAATTGCGTGTGTTATCCTGCGGTGTACTTGGTTTCCCTATGTTGAAGAGATGTAGCTTTCAAGATAATCTTTTTTTTTGTATTTCTGGGAAATCAAGTGAGATGACTTTGTAACTGGTGTTCCTGTGTTTTGTCTTGCTGTTTGTGGACTTCAAAAAGGGGAGCGTGATGTTTCTGTGCCTAAAGATATTGCAGTCCCTGTATAAAGTGCATTGTTAGAGCGCTGGAACATTTGGTATACATGCTTGTCTGCGCGTAACTGTCTAGAGTCTTAGGACGGGAGCTATTTGTTGTTACAACTAGTAGTTCAAACAACAATATTGATTTATGCTGTCAAAAATACATGTTTTTATATTGCAATTGGGTGGGTAATGCTTGCATTGTCGTTTTCCTTTTTCTTTTTTTCGGTGGGACAGATTTGTCAGATATTCCAGAACAAGTTCTTGAAGAAATGAAGAAACTGTGTGAGATTGAAGTTGTCCCTTATTCATTGACACTTGGTTATTCCTACTGGGGTGCAGGTCAGATCCAGTTTCATTAGACATATATTTCAGATTACATACACTTATATGTTCTTTTAGACTGAGAACTCACTATAGTCTTGGAATTGTCGACTCTGCTTTACTTGCAAAGGATTAGTGCCACAATTTCTTAAGAAAGTCCATATTAGGCTTCTGAAGATGATGAGTTTCTAATGTGCCGAGGTTTTTAATCAATTTTATGTGCCAGTGGATCTTTCAAGTTCATATTCGTTCCAATTCCTGTGCTTTCATTTGTCTCCTTTACAGTCTTTTCATTTTTTTTATATATTTTGTTTGGGGGTGGAGGAGTCAATAGTAAACATACTCTAGCATTCGAAATGCGGCACAGGGATGCCAGGCCTTGCACACACTTTGCTGGGGCATGCCTTGTAGATGACATTTGGGTTTGCTTTGAGCTGCAATTTCTTATTACCAATAAAAACATTTTGGTTGACCTTGACTGCAGATCATTTATTGAAGCAGATTCTCCCGCCTGGGGTCGAGGTACCTACATCTTTTGAAACGATAGTTATGTATAAAATCTCTATAATTTATTTCTGGATCAGCTTCCTCATGGGCATTTTTCATTCAAAACTAGGTGATCTTCTGGAAGTAACAGTGTCTTCTTATTTGTGCAGGTCATATTGCACACTTGAATATACATGACGAACTGCTTCCCTACAAGGATGTTATTGCTAAAGTCATCTATGACGTACGTATTACTAACTCTCATACTTTATGAATGTTGTATTTCTTTGGTTGGTTATTTTGTCTGTGCCATTGTCCGTGGCACACTAGTCAAGTTTTCTTGCATATTTTTTCTCCTGTACTCTTTTCTTTTCATTCTGAACTCAGCATCTTAAACACATGCGACACCAAGCCGCAAGATGTGGGCTGGTGGTTCACAATCAGCAATGTGTTGTGCTCTCTTTTAAATGTGCTCCGAGTATTATTTTGAGCATCACTATGGTAGTTCTGCTTATTTCCTGTTTTTAGGATGTTTTAAGTGCACAAGTGTGTGCTGCCTGAGGCCCTTGGCATATGCAGAGACATATGCCATAAAGTATGCAGCATCAATAATCTGTAGAATTGACTGTTTCTTATATGAGCAGAAAAATTCTCCGAGAATCCAGACGATTGTTAATAAAGTTGGAACAATCACAAATGAGTTTCGTGTGCCGAAATTTGAAGTCTTGGCTGGAAAAAGTGATATGGTGACAGAGGTGAAGCAGTATGGAGCGACATTCAAGCTTGATTACAGTCTGGTGTATTGGAATTCAAGACTGGAGCATGAACACATAAGACTTGTATCTAATTTCCAACCAGGGGAAACCATATGTGACATGTTTGCTGGCATTGGCCCTTTCGCAATCCCAGCTGCTCAAAAGGGGTGCATGGTGTATGCAAATGACCTAAACCCAGATAGTGTTAAGTATTTGAAGATCAATGCGCAGTTGAACAAAGTGGACGACCTTGTTCATACTTCCAACTTGGATGCGAGGAAATTCATTTCTCAGATGACGTCTTTGCCTGAATCCAAAACTAGTTTGGAATCTGATGTTCTTACTGAAGAGTGTGAGATCAATAGGGAACCGTCAAAGCAGGAAGCAGAGTCAGATGGAACCCCAGGTATGCTTTTGCTGTCAAATGATTGCTGTCTTTTTGCAATTTGATGGGTTTCAGACTTTCAGTGTTATTCTCCAATGCGTGACATGCAATTAACATGGATGTAGTACCCGAAGACAATGCAAGCAATGGTGATGGTCTAAAAGGTTTATGTGCTGGTGCAGTCGCAGCTGCTCCTGCAGCCAAAAGACCATTAGATACTTCTAAAGAAGGTAACAAAAGCATTGCTGTCAAATATTCTTTTGCCATTTAATAGATTATCTACTTTTTCATGTATCCATTAGTTTGTTTAAGATTTTGTGCATGGTGGTGCATTTTGCTGATTCTTGCATTGTTTAATCAAGATTCAAGATAATTCATTTTCCCTGCATATTTCCATTGCAGGTGCCAATGCCAAAGATTGCAGTGTACTTGTATCTTGCAAAAGAAAAGGAAATAACAATAAGCGAATCAAGGCCACTGAGTTGTCCTATTCTAAGACATGGGAGCACATTGATCATGTAGTTATGAACCTTCCTGCATCAGCTCTCACATTTTTGGGTCTCTCTCTCTCTCTCTCTCTCTCTCTCTCTGTGTGATTTGGCACAGCATGAAATTTTGTTGACATTCCTTGCCTCAATATGTCTTCTCCGATGGGAAGAAGACCATGTTGGGTTTGTTTCAATTCCTTTAATCTGTGTTGAAGAGACCAGAAGAGATAGAAAGAGTAGTCAGCATTGCATTCTTTGTGGGAGAAAAAGTGTTATTTCAATAGTCTTCTCAAATATTTCAAAATATCTTCACATTGCATAGTTGCATAATGCATCGTGTTGCTACCTTCATGGCTGATTGTGATGATACTTTAAACCTCTGTAACCTAACTCCCTGTTTTGTTATTTAATGCAGCAATTTAAGCATTATTGTTAATTCTGATTTGCACTTTTGTGATAAAAAATAAATCCAAGACATTGGGTAGTATATGGTTACTTAGGCTGATGCACTTCTTCTCCAAGGCCTCTTCGTTTTTCTCTTGTAAACTTTTTGCATCGTTTTTCAATATCGTAGAATACTTCTAAATATTTATTTAAGCTGCTTAGAAGATCCAGAAAGGCAATTTTGTCTAATTCTTTTTTGCCTTAGATGTATTTAGGGGGCTTATACACAGGAAATATTGGAAGGAACCCTCTCCTTGGATTCACTGCTATTGTTTCATGAAGGCCAGCGAAACCAAAGAATCCATTTTGGCAGTAAGTTCTGTTCTACAGGAATGTAAATTCATGTCCACCTGTTAATGTTATTGTCTTTTGCCAGTCTAAACACGAAGTTTACCTCTCCAATGAAGTTTACCAGGGCAAAACAAATATGAGTGAACTGAAACATTTTCTTGGAGATTTCAGGAACCTCTGTACTTAGTTTTCCTGTTGTGCATCATTATCTCTATCTTTTGGGATCAATTGAGAACTGAAAACTGAAGATTATAGATAGCTTAAGGGAGATAGTTTGGGCTGGGAAATATTATGCCGGACTTCCACATCATTGCTACTAGAAAGAGGTTCTGTTATATTTTTAGGATGAATTAGGAAGTTGAATTAAAAACTGCACAAGTAGTTGTATGGTCATAGTAAGACTCGACAGACCACATGTTCAGGCAATCACAAGGCCAAAAGAGGGTTGGCGGCGCCTTATTATTCAATTTCCTCAAACTTTTAGTTCCGCTGTCGACGTTTGAAGTTTTGTCATGGAGAATGTAATCTTAAATGTACCGGCCCATGGCAAAATGTCACGCAATAGCTCAGTTAGATGACTGGAGCTAATGATGGTTTGAGGATGGTAGGCATGTTAGGTTAACTTTTTTTTTTTTTGGGGGGGGGGGGGGGGGGGGGGGGGGTCAAAATGTTAGGTTCAACTTTGGGATCTCCTGACTTGTCATTTGTCTATAATGGGATAAGCCCGCAATCTGTACCATTTTTCCTGTTTTGAACTTTCTGTTTGTTATCGATATGAAAAGTTTCAAATGACAGTATTCTAGACTGCATTGCTGCGCTTTCCTTGGATGTTTTATTATTCATCGTCCTGTGAACACACTTCGGATTCCGACAGGTGGCAGAACGTGCCCTCGACGCCTCTATTAGCGAGCCAATATTCCACAGGGTTAGGGATGTGGCGCCGAATAAGGTACTCCCTGGCAAGCACTCCGAGGGTTTCAATTATGTCTAGGTGTTAAAAAGGATGCCCTCATGGGCCTTCCCTATTGAGTGTCAAGCATTGTCGGTTTTGCAGGCGATGTACTGCCTGAGTTTCAGGCTGCCGGAAGCATGCTTTAAGGAAGATTCCCATAACACTAGCCACCCTGCTGAAGGGCAGTCGTAAATGTGGTAGGAACAATTATGTGGGGGGCTAAACACGGCCACTTGCCTAACGATTAAGAAGGTTTTTTTTTTTTTTACTTGACCGAAGGCGGGAACTCATCATTGACGAGATACGGTTGTCTATCGAATCGAGGCCGGCGTCCATGCAAATGCCGCTTATGGTCCGAGAAAAGCAAGCGGATGTATGTTTGGGTATGATCTGTCTTTCACAAGAGTTTCACGGTCTAAAAAGGATATGAAATGTGAGATGAATTTTTTTCTTATATTTTCGACAGTTTTGTTTCTTAGGATTTCCAGCTTTGTTGGGCTGGTTCCCAATGCTTTGGAGCTGTTTTGTAAAAGCCTCGTCAGTGTTTCGGAAATACTTTTTTACTTTCGAATTTCGATATTGGAGCGTCGACTTTGATTTAATTAAATACCGCAATACGTGAATGCACAAAATTTTGTGCGGTCGCACAATAATTGAAGATAATGTTATATATGATCGATTACCCCCCGCGGATGTTTCGAAGGTTGTGAGAGAGAAAATTCAGTCGAATTAAAAAAAAAATTGGTGGAAATTACTAATGCGTAATAAACATTTCAAAATAATCAGACGATCTTTTTCATCGTTCTTTCTTTTCTGCCTTTAATAGTAAAAGTCAGTTTTACTTTCCGGAAGTGAAAAGACCAAATGGTTTGACCCACAAAAAAAGAAAAGAAAAAAGAAAAAAAAAAGGAAAGACCAACTGGGCCCCACTTTCTATAGCCCCCCGTTCTCTCCAAACACCGTTACCGTAACACCCCCTCGACAACGATACCGCCTCATCTTGCCGTTGCCGCTATACCGTTCCGTCTCCCTCCCCAACCCTTTTTTCTTTCTCAAATAAGAAAAAGAAAAAGAAAAGGAAATAATAATATTCGCGAGATTTTGAATTTGAATCCCATAACGGATAGATTCAGCCACTCTCGCTCTCTCTCTTCGCCTCTCAGCACCCACACCCACACCCACAGAAGCAGAGCTAACGGAAAATGGCGACTCTCACGCATCGAATCCTCCTGAAGCTCCTCCAGTCCATGAACTCCTCCAACGCCCGCGTCGCCCGGCGACCACCGCTTCGCTCTCCTCCTCCAGGTCATAGGCATCGTCCCCGCCCTCTCTCACCTCTGGCCCAACCAACCCCCCCCCCCCCCCCCCCCCCCCCCCCCCCCCCCCCCCCCCCCCCCCCCCCTCCCCCTCCCCCCTCCTTCCCCCCCGGCCGCAGCAGTCGGATGGCTCCCACCTTGGGTGGGTGCCCGATGGGCGCTTGACCGGAGCAGTCTGAGCTTGGGGTGGGTGGAGGGCGACAGGGAGGAACCGAAGGCGGAGAAGCCCAGATCGAGGCAGGCCCTTGCGCCGAGGGACAATTTGCCTAATTTGAACTCTGATGCGGAGGCAAAGGTTTCTGCTCAGAAGCCCTCGAGATTCTCGTCCCCTGCGACGGCAAAGAGGTAGGGTCTGTCGGGAGGAAAATTGCCCCGGTTGTAGAGAGAGATCCGTCGCCTGCTGGACAGGGGAAGCGGTCAGCGTCCCCGGTACCCTCCAGGTGTGTTGTGCCGAGCTTGGTCGCTGCAAACGAAGAGAACAGGAGGAACTCGAAGGAACCGGCAATTATAGTGCCATCAAGGTAGTGGCATCCATTGCCGAACGCTCGAAGGCAGGCGTCACCAAGCACGAGGAGGGCTTCGCTTTCGCCGGGGAGGAGATTGTCGGGCAGTGTGAAGGCGTCGCCAATGGTGATGGATTCAGCAAGTAAGAAGAAGATGGCTACAATCGCTGCTGGGATTTCGAAGGTCAAGGCCTCGGTTGGTTTGGGAAAGGCAGGCCGGAAGAACTGGGATGAGCGGCCTGCATCATCAGCATCGGCAGCTCCAGCAACGGAGCAGAAGGAGAAGGCTCCTGGGAAACAACAAGCCCGATCTGCAAGCGATTTTGCGGACTCAGGTATTGGTCTTTTCCTGTCATAATTGGCAAATTGACTGAAGGCGTGACATGGTTATAATGATTACCTGGATTCAGAGCAGAGTGGGCATTTGCTGCTATCATTTCTTGGAATAAGTTACACTGTTGTAGATACCATGCTGGTGCGATTGGGAATTCATAAAAAGGAGACAGCATGTGGATTGATCTGTGTTTCTGTTAGTTCTTGACGAGAGGAAGAAGATATGTAGAAATCGCGAGGTTGAATAAGAAAGAAAAGAAAGAATAACCCTTGTCCCGTTAGTAACGTATGTACAATGCAATGAACTTGAGATTTGCTTGCGGTGCTCTGTTTGGTATCATACTGTGGAGATAAACTACAAGGTGGCTTCACTCACTGGTAATGTTTTTGTCAGAGAAGACAATATGTGCCATAGCAACCCTCGGAGCTAAAACCCACTAGCGTCAAATGACAGTTTACCCTTTGGGAATGTGGTTCTTTAAACCTCTCTCCCATATATTTGACCCTTCACACTTGCACTTTAGATGGGTTCTCTTACTTTAAAGATAATTGCATCTCCTTCTCAGGCTGCTATATCTAGACGTCTTCGCGATGTGACTGGTGGAAAGGCGAATGGTGGTGATCCTTCAAACAATGAGAAGGCAATAAATGGAGCACCTAAATCTATCACTTCAGTTCCGGGAATTACCATTCATGATAAGAAATGGACTGATGGCAGTGTTCCTCTCGACTTGGTCTGCAAAGAACTCCATTGGCGTGGGTTGACTAAGAACAAACTCACTCTTATATTGTCAATTGGAGAAAAAATTTAGTTCTTTTAACTCACGATCCATCTGTCAATCATATGACTTTGTATAACCAGAGAGAATTGCTGAAAGCATTGTTTCCAAGTCAACCTAATTTTTCTTAACTAAAATGCAGGAGGCTATGCAGAGGAAACTTATTGCCTCCATTGCAGCTGCTGAAGCATTGGAGGAGTCACTAGTGAGGAATTTGAGGTACAAACTTGACCCCGGTTCTTTTTTTCACCTAGGATCTAAATAAACATACAGAAGCAAAGAAAATATCAACCACAGTACAAGAGCATGAGAGTGGTATAAATAAGAGCTAAAATGTTCTGCAATGTGATTTGGGAAGTAAAAGCATTAATATGTGTGAAATGCATCATGAGCATTAGCGGTTATGTGCTGTCGAAACTTTTAGTCGTATCATTTAATGCTTTAGCTGTATAGTTCGATATAGCACTTTCTGAGCAAAATTGTATTTGATCATCTGTTTCAGCATGTTTTCAGAACTTTGTTCCACATCCGAGTAACTCAATTTGATTTATTTGGCGAACGAGGTTCCTTTATTTATATTCTTGCCAAACTTTTAAGCAGTTAATTAAAACCAGACCTCTGCACACTAAAGAAGGGAACCATGAAAAAGGATGTCCTTGTGGACACACTTTTGTCTTCTTGATTGGCATTCATCTAATTTAGAAAAAGAATGTTGCTGAAACAGATGATAAAACACAATTTTGCTCAGACAGTGCTATATCGAACTATAAAACTAAAGTATTAAATGATACGACTAAAAGTTTAGACATCACATAATATCTCTACGCTACTGAGGCCATTCTTGATATTTTCCTGCTCAAGCCTTATAACAAGAACAATAAAGTGGAACAAAGTTCTCTTTATGATAATACTATCTGTGAATCAGTAGCAATATCCTACTGCTTCTTCAACTTAACCTGGTTTGGGCTCAATGTTTGTGCCCATTGAAGTAAGAGCAGCATCACTCGCTATGAACTATAATGCTCAATGTTGCACTAGCCCACATGAGAAGTGACGAAACAAACCGAAATTCCTCCTTTATTGTAAATTATAGAGGTCAATATATGTAGATAAAATGGCATCCATCATAGAAATCATCCGCATTCTGCTTCTGATGTCGCCAAGAACAGGGCTGTTTCACTTGCTACATGTAGACAAAATGACATCCATCATAGCCCGCACAAAAATGGACCCCGGAAAAAAAGAGGCATTGATAACTGGTTTAACGTAAATATATGCTTACTAGGATCGACGGTGCATGGCTGTGCCGCCTCCAGCCCAATATGCTGTTCGCGCACCGAGGGCTTGGCCACGCACCACAGGTGGCTACGCTTGGGTGTGGCGGCACCGTGGGAGGAGGGTAGACAGTCGGCGGGGAGAGGACATAAGAGGGCGGGCTTGGAATGAAGATTGGGAGAGACATAAGACAGTCGGCACCGTGTAAGGCCGGGGATCGTTGGTGGGGTAGGACTAGGAGCGGTTCCGGGCCGGAGGAGGGCTTGGGAATGACTCGGATGGGCTGGGAGGCAGGCCTTTAAATGGGAAGGATTCGTGGGATGCAGGTTGGTGACGGTGTGGTCGGTGGGTTTGTTGTGGAAGCTGGGGGTTGTGGGGTCAACGGAGGGCTGAACGGCGGGCTCATGTAAGGTTGGGTGTTCGAAGGCAAGTCCAGGTTTGTGGTCACTTGCGCTCATCATCTGATCAGGTCCAGGCTTGTGGTCACTTGCACTCATCATCTGATCGGGTTATAATCACCACAGAGGCTGAGTGCGCGGATCAACCCGCAATGGACAGTGCATCTAGAACAGAAAGGGGGAAGAGGAAGGCCAGGATGTATGACTATAGTGCTGTAGTGAGAAAGGGGGAAGAGGAAGGCCGCCAGGATGTATGACCATAGTGCTGTAGTAGAAATTTACGTAAAATAAAGCAGATAAAAGAGGTCTTACTGTTGCTAATTGTGCACTTCTGGAGGAGCAGGAGGATCAACAAAGTGGAGGTTCGGATCCCTGCGTTCAACAAAACCAAAACAAATAAATGTTTAGCTAATAGACCATAACAACTTTTGCAAGCAGGATCTGCACGCTTTGCTCAAGTACCCAGTAAGTTTTCTGGCGAGGTAGAGGAAGGGTTTCTCAAAGTTGTAGTTGTTCTTTGCAGAAATTTCACAGTACTGCAAATTCTTTTTCCAATGGAACGTAACCTGCTCTGCTTCAACTTGCCTATTCTCCAAATCTACCTTGTTCCCACAGAGCACAATAGGTATGTTCTCACAGACCCTGTAGGATTATGGGTAATTAGCGAGACATAGCAGCACCATAAAAAACTGTAGTACAAAAACAAATCAAAAGGTCACCGGGCGTTTCTACTCAACCTGCAGAGATCGCGGTGCCAATCAGGAACCTTTTTATACGTCGATCGATCAGTGACATCAAACATGATAATTGCACACTGGCCATGGATGCTGCGGAACAAAAAATAAAGGTTAAAATTTCGACACACACAGACACAGGAGGGAATAACGGGCGCACAAAAGTACAACACGCAGTCCAAAAACATTTAAGGCCCTCCTACTTTTTCTCCAAAATAAGAAAGATGTATAATTGTCATATGGATTTTACCATTTCTAGCGATATCACGAATAAGAATGACCACGAAACAAATATACACTCTTTTCAAATGTGGAAAAAGTTCCTACAAAACTACTTGTTTCTTCATCCACGATTTTACAAATAACACTTGAAGGCACCGATGTTAAGTAATTATTGCCATTTTTAGTAAACTCAGATAGTTAAATAAACAACCAACCAAAATATAGCTACCATGTAAATAACGCATTGTTCCAGTACAATTTCGAGACTACATTTTTCTCTCTAATATCGCTCAATTCACGTGAATATGAACTGGAAACGGGAAATCCTTCCACTGAATTAAGAGCAAGGAATTTTCTAAGAGGGAGCGATCACTCACTAGTATGAATCTCCTAGACCAGCAAACTTCTCCTGCCCTGCGGTATCCCAGCAGTAAAACCGGATATTCCAGCGGTTTGTTACAAAATCCAAAGGATGGACTTCGACACCAATAGTTGCTGTTATGTGCAAGGAGATTAGCACAGACTAAACAAAATGATAATCTAATGACAACAAAAAAAAAGAAAAAACATAATCAGGCATTCCCACATCACTTACGCTCATATTTCTTTTCAAACTCCCCAGTAAGATGTCTCTTCACGAAAGTCGTTTTACCTGCACGGAGGAATATACTACGCTCAGCCTTGCTATCCATTGCTTGACAATCGAAAGAAAAGATACAGCTCATGACAAATGGAGAAGATCGCGAAGCCACTTATCGTCCGACACCCTCGGACATCAGACAAATCCCCAGAAATTGTGTGAAAACACACTGTTCGCTACTTCAAATGGTAAATCCTCTATCTTTAAGAATATAACCGTGACCATGTTACATGTCCCTGATCCCGACCACTAAAATGACTAGAGCAGACCCTAATTTATCACAACATCATACGCACCCTTGTTAGGTACACAACAGCATATCAAAAAACAGAGCACCCCAGCTACGAATTACCTGTGCCTCCATCGCCGACAAGAACGAGCTTGAAGCTCGGGTAATCGACAGTCTGCTGATTCGGAAAAGCCTGAAAGAGAGACGCAAAGGGAAACAAAAAAAGAAACAATTAACAACAAATGAGATCAAAATCCAAACTTGCGATCGCTTAAAAAGAAACAATTAGCTGCAGAACCTCCCCCAAAAAAAGAAGAACATGTGACCAGGATCCGAAAGCTCGAGAATGACGACGAAGAGAGTGGAGATTCAAGAAGGTGGAGATTCAAGAAGATCCAGCCAAAGAAAAGAAAAAAACCCTAGCTACCAAGAATTTGAAGAACGCGCGCAGAAAAATGGGACGACGAAGGGGAAATGAAAACGAACGAACGAACGAACGAACTCACCATTGATGATTGCGAAGAGCGTCGGGGCTTTGGTGGGTGTGAGAGAGAGAGAGAGAGTCGAAATTCGTTCGTAGAAGCAAAGCGTATTGGGAGAGAGGAGCCATTTCTGAGGTTGGGGGGATTGATTTTAAGCCGGAATGAAGTGAGCAGAGTAGGAACAGTATAACAAACAAATGAAATGAGCAGAGTAGGAACAGTATAACAAAGGAAGGCGGAATATGGCGGATGAAAGGCGGCAAGGTAATATAGCGGTAGCGTGTGCCACCTGTTGTGGACGCCCGTTGCGCCTTTCCTTTCTGTTTTTTAAATTTCGTGGGGAGAGTGGAAATTTGGGAAGAAAATGTAATAATGGGCCCAAATAGAACCAGCCCATCTTCCTTTTTCTTCCTTCAATAGATTTGTCCTGAGCGTGGGCGGGGGCGGACAAAACCGCTGAAAGGAGAAGAGAGCGAGTTCGTCCGTGGAGAGAAAAAGGTGAAAAGCGAGAAAGTCCCGCGCGTTCCCGATCCGGCAGTCCCGAGAAGTCGAATCAACTGCGAATTGCAACGCCGGGTAAGTATTAATTAATTTTCGACGCTGAGTCGTAAATTTCAAGTTATGTGAAATTTTTGGCTATGAAGTCCGATCTTTAAGTTATCAAGCTGTGAATACATATATGGAAACGTCGTGGGGCCGTAGGGTTTGATGAAAATTGATTCCGAAGTGCGGCTTGGTCGGAACGAAATTACGAAGTTTCGGGTGCATGTTACGCGTTACGGATGAAAATGAACTTTTGTTATAAACGGGGTTCTTCGTTTCGTTTACGTGTAAAACTAGTTTTATTGACAGATCAGCGTAATTTCGTTAAGTCATTCATTAGAATAGTATTATACATGGTTTTCGATATCGTTTTTCAAATAATTTATAGGAATACGATCGCATCGGTTCGAACAACCACCATAGGTTGCTTTTTCGCTTTCCCCGGTTAGTAGTGCTATCTCTTTTATGAATATCTGAACTCATGTCTTGAAAGTGAAAGAAATTCGATATATTATGAGTTGTGAAAGAGTATGTTTGTTGCATAAAAATCTGGATCAGATATTTCGTATATTTTAGTATTTGTGAATGGTTTAAGATATGTTTTAGGAATGGTGTTGTAAAACGATGTGTGTGTGTGTATATATATACTGATTTGGCAACTTGGGGTATGAAATGGACATGTGAAATGTATTATGATCTAAGAAACGAGTTCTGGAATGATTTGAGAAATATTTTTCTTGATTTGTGCAATGTCATATGTTTGGTTTGTGAAATGTACTTTAGTTGATGAAAGAAGTTGAGAAAGTTTTTTTTTTTTTTGGTCAGACAAGTTGAGAAAGTTTATGCGATTTGTTTTGATAAATCAATTGGTGATATTGATTCCGGATTTGATTCTTGGAACTAGAGGATGTGGGTTTGGTGCTCAATATCGCTGTGAACCCATTGAGGGTTTGTGGATATCCATATACTAGTTTATGATATATCATTGTGGGCCGAGCCACCGTCAATATAGGTGGAGAGCTAACTAAGGGGGGAATCTTGATTGCCTTGTCACGGGGTGTTATGCGTGACCCTGGCTAGATACTTGAGCATGAGTTTAATCAATGGAATATATCATTAACATGTGATTTGAGATTAGTCGATGGAATGAACCATCGACGTGTGATTTGATGAAATTAATCAATGGAGTAGATCATTGCTATGTGAGTTATTGATATTGATCAATGGATTAGACCATTGATATTTCGTTTTGATATTACTGAGGAAATGATTATGTCAGTATTTTACTATTTACGTGACTGCGTATTTCATTGTTCCTTTTGACCCCATGTGCGTACAAATTTCTGCTAAAAGGAAATAACTTACATTTGAAGTTGTATGTGTATTATCAAACAGATTTGGGATCATTAAGTTTAGTTATAGTTTTGTAAATATGCATAGTAGATGCTCGATCCGCTAGAAGAGATATGTATTATTCACACTCAACCCATTCCTTTCAAATCTTTTCAAATTCCTCGGCTATCGGCTGATGGTACGAGTGCGATATCGACATGAAATTTTTTATTGTGTTTGAGGCTGCGTCCTTCGGGATGAAGGACGGTCATGTCTGTTGAGAAAAACTCCTATTGATTTTGAAGTTGACAAAACCTTCCATGATATTGTAAATTTGATACTTATTCTGAACTAATTTATTCCAGGTATGTATATTCTTGAAGCTCAGAAGGAAGTTATTTAAACTTTACAAGCTGGCAAATATCTTATTGAAGACCCACATAATCTTAGTTCTGAGATTCAGACGAAGAAATTATTCAGATGCAGAAGAAGAAATTATTCAGAAGCAGATGCAGAAGTTCTTCAGACATAGACGCAGAAGTTCTTTAGATGCAGACGCAGAATTTCTTCAGACGCAGAATTCAGAACGAAACAAAACAGCTAGTGATCTGGTATGGATTTCACAGAAAGAAAGTTTTGATTGTCTCAAACTCAATCATATTGATTGACAATCAAATACTATGACAAGTATGCATTACAACGGATAAAGCTCTACTTATGGAAACCAAGATTCTGATTGTATGGGCGACCAGAATCAGCGGGATTCAGAATCTGTCATCCAACGGCTACTCAATCATTTCTATACAAATTTGTCCAAAGTGAAGATTGGAAGATGATCCTCTGAATGCTGTCCAACGGCTAGTTTGGAAGTAGAGGAGTATTTAAGGAGATCAACGAGCAACAAAAGGAAGTACAGAATCAAGAATCATCAAGTCCAAAGTCTGAGCATACTCCGATCATTTCTCTTGTCTTTATGAGCAAAACATTAAGATCCTGAGAGACACTTTGTAAGAGTGATTGTGTGAGATAGAGAGTCCTATCATACACAAGAGTGCTAACACTCAGAAGTTGTAATTCCTCTTGATTAGATAGTGAAATCCAGCCAGTAGGCTGTCAGCGTGGGAGAGTGGACGTAGGCTTGCTATAAGTCGAACCACTATAAACTTGTGTGCAGATTCTCTATCCCTCATCTCTTACTTTACATTCTGCACATCAAGAGCACAGTCTATACAATCTGTCTTGAATCTGAATTTTATTCAAACTCTTCTGTGATTTGTTTTGTTTCAGCATAAATTATCAAAAATTATTTAAGATCACCTATTCACCCCCCTCTAGGTGATCCTTGCTAGCTACATCAATTGGTATCAGAGCAGGTTGTTCATTTATTGAAGTGTTTTACTTCTGAGCTAACAATCTACATGGCTAGCTTTGGTGCTCCAGGGCTCATTGAAGGACAAAGTAACAACAGACCACCATATTTCGATGGCAAGAAATATAGTGTCTGGAAGAATAAGATGAAGGCATTCATAAAGTCAATTGATCACATGCAATGTGATGTCATCATCAGAGGAGTCAATCCAAAATCTTCTGATTCAAAAGAAAAGGTAGATGCTAGCAAAGCAGCAGATCCTCCATTATCTCAGACTGAGATATCCAAAAGAGAAACCTTAGATTCCAAAGCAATTTATTCTTTATATTGTGCCTTATCTCCTATTGAATATAAAAAAATTGTTGCTTGTGAATAAGCTAAGGAAATCTGGGATACGCTCCACATTACTTATGAAGGAACAGATCGAGCCAAGGAACAGATACGCTCCACTGAAGAATCAATTGCTGATATGTATGACAGGTTTACTGACATAGTAAACGGTCTTGCATATCAAGGACAACCAGTCCCAGATGCAATGAAAGTCAACAAACTACTGAGAGGACTGACAATGAAGTGGGATAATATCAAAACATCTCTTCGAGAGACACAAAGGATCAAGCCTCTATCAGTAAATGAGTTGATTGGAACTCTTCAATCATATGAGATTGAGCATCGGAATGAGGAGAATGAATCCAGAGGTAATAAGTCAATTGCATTAAAAACTAACATTAATTCTGATGCAGATTCTGAAGATGAAGATGTTGACGATGAAGAACTAGCTCTCTTCATAAAGAAGTATAAGAAGATGAAGATCAGAGGAAGAAACCTCAAAGGTAAGAAGCCTTTTGAGAAGAAGAAGTCTTTCGATGAAACAGAGAGATCAAAGGATGTTATATGCTTTCACTGTAAGAAACGTGGACATATCAAGCCAAATTGTCCACTTCTGAAAAAGAAGACCAAATTTGAGAAAGCAAAGAAGGCCTTAAAAGCATAAACCTGGAGTGATACAGAGTGCGAAGACAGTGATGAAGATATCTCTAATTTCTGTCTAATGGCTAAGTCAGACTCAGACTCAGATTCAGATTCAGATTCTGATCCTAAAGTTGAAATTGAGGTAAAGTATTCTGATATGCCTATTGAAGTATCAAATTATATTGATGAATTATGCTTTGAATTTAAGACTGCTCTTAAAAGAATCTCTTCTTTGAAAAAGGAAAATTCATCACTGAGGCAACATGATGTTTCTCAAAAAGAAAAAATCGATTTCCTTCAAAAAGAATTTCATCAAATCAAGGAAAGTCGAGATTTTCTTTCCAAAGAAAATGCTGTTTTGAAAAAGGAAGTTTCAGAAATTACTTCCAAGTTTTCAAAAGGTTCAGAAACCTTGAAGCATATCCTTTCTATCCAAATCCCTTACTATAACAAATCTGGTCTCGGATTTGTGAAGGAAAGTGATAACTTGATTGATTTTCCAAAGGTCAAGGAGAGATT